AATTTTTTTAAAGTAAAAAGTAAAAAAACTAATTATTATTTCAAAATCTAAGGAAAAAAAATAAAGTTTTAAAGCAAATTTCAAAATACAAACTTCTAAAGAACCACAAAATAATATAATGTGTAAAAAAAATTTTTTTAAAAAAAAAGCTCGGTATACAAATTTTTTTTTAAAAATTAAAAATAGATACAATAACTAGCCAGTCTTTTTTCTTCCAGTACCCACCGCAGCTTTTTAACTGAATCTAGCTGGTCACAAGATAAATCGTGATAAATCAGGATATCGACATGTAGAATCTGCAATGTGCATATAAATCTTTAAAAATTTACGATTATTGAGCATTCTATAGTTTTAGAAGATGAGTATCATGGCGTAGACTAGCATATTTTTTAAGAGGAAGCGGACAGTGTACATGTATGTTTTGTAATGTTAATAATAGTATATTTTTATTTTTAGAATATATTGGGTTAAAGGTTATGAGGATTAGTTTGGGTGAAATCATGGAGTTTTTGGTATTCTTGGACCATTTCTTGGTCTGTTTTGAAGGCTGCTGAGTCGAGGTGGAATATCTCTACATTATTCTAAGTTGAACATCTACTGAGAGCGACATAGGCTTGATCGGGGGAGAAAATTGAAGTACCTAGAGCGAGGAATACTTTCGGTAGGGTCAGGCTTTGGGTTTTGTGAATGGTGAGAGCAAAAGAATTTTGGAGGGGAAATTGGATACAGTGGCAATTATTTCCGTAGTTGGAAGTAATGTGTCTGTTTGTAAATGGTTGTATTGATCAAGGAACTTCTGATCGAAAAAGCAACTTGAACGGATTGGTTTTCGAGGTCGAGGTTGGTAATAATTCCTGTGGTACCGTTGCATATACCTTGATATTTGTTAGATAGATCGTGACGGACTTCTAACTAAAATGAGTTTGGTTCCTTCTCTCTAAGATATTTGTCTAAGCAGAAATCTAGGATGGATTGTCCGTTTTCATTTCTGAAAACATCAGTAGTGATACTGGATGCCATCACATCTATTCCAGTTACGGGTAAATTGTCGTATTTCAATTCAAGGTGTTTGATTGAAGTTGCGTTAACCTTGGATGAAGGAGTATGGGTTAGTTTTTTTTTCTGATTTGAAAAAGAAAAAAAGAGAAAAGAGGATACCGAGTAATAGGCTGAGCATCTGACAAATTTTCCTTTTAATTGAACTACATCTCCAGTATCGATTTGGTCTATTTGGTGTGAAATGGAGGTGTTCAAAAGAACAAATGCTTTTACTCGCAAGTAGGAGATTATAGTGGGATCTTCTTGGTTCATCCTCACAATCGCAGTAATTTTCATCACGGTAAATCTCAGGTGGTTCTTTGGGAGAATTTGTAGATGTAGCAGAATGTGTTCAATTTAGCGAGCATGATTTTTATTTTTTTTATATTTTATAAAGGAAGATATTATTTTCGTTACTCTTTTACTTTTTTTTTTTTGTTCTTCGAAAAATTGGAAAAAAAAGGATGAAATTTATGAGAAGTATTTTTTTTATTTTTATTTTTTATTTTTTTATTTATTATTTTATTATTGTACAAAAATCGAAAATGTAAAGAACAGGAAGTTCTGATCTCTTTTTTTTATTTTGTTTATAATAAAATCGAATTTTTCTCTATTCGAAAAGAATTTTTTTTCCTATTTGGAGATATCTTACATTTTTTTTTGAAGATTGTAGAGTTGTCTTATGAAAATCAGAATTGAAAAATTTTTTTATCGTGAGATTTAGGAAGAAAACAGGTTTAGAATCAAAATATTTGGGTTATCAAAGTTATACGATCATTAAAAACCTCTTTTTTTTCGTTTAAAGAGAAAACTATTTATAAAGGGATTATTCGTTAGGGAGGAGGGTGGGCGCTAATGTGAGAATCATAAATGGATTTGAGATTCGTAAGATAATGCTCTAATCGGAGTCTCTAATCGGTAAAGAGAAGCGATTCATGTAAAAAGTCAGGCAGTTTTTTTTTCTAACGTGAATGAGACGATCAAACCAAAAAAGAATATAGAATGCAAGTGTTTTGACAATCTTCATTCGAGAACTTTGTGGGTCAGTAAAAGAAATAAATATAAAAAAAAAAAAAGAAATAATCAAGCAATATAACGATCATTTATAACACATGATTTCTCAATAAGGAAAAAAATACAGTCTCTTTTCTATTTTACGATAATTAGATAAATACTGTATAACGTTTAACGAATTAAAGTTTATTTAACATAGCATATATAAATGATCCTTTTATATAATAAATTTATTTATCCCTTTGTCTGTAAAGCATGCAAATTTGCCTGCATAAAGCATAAACATACACACAAATAAAAATTTTAACCATTATTAGTAGTACTGTATAAATTATTGTTTTATGTAATCTTAAAAATACAATAAAAT